CACCTTCAGCCCTGCATGCTGCCAAACAGGAGATGGGGACACATGCAGCCTAGTGACAGCCAGCTCGCTCCTGGGGCTGGCACCACCTGGGTGCAGGGTGCACCCCAGGGACAGGGATGGACCACAGGATGTTCCCTACATGTTTGCGCTCAGCAGCCTCCCGCAGCAGCTGGACCACGTCCTGCCCCACACAGCCTGAGGCACTGAAGCCTTTGGTCCAGGTCAGCAGCAATGCCTGCAAGAGAGGCAGGAGTAGCCTCCAGGCAGCCGCCTCACACCATATCCCAGTGTCCTTCCTATACCCATGGGGCTGGAGGCAACCCCTCACCTTATCCAGGCCCACTTGCTGGCAGGGGAAGGAAAAGGTGAAGCCGAGAGGTAGGGTGTGTGTCATCAGGTCCTGCTTCAGCTGGAAGTCCATGATGCAGTCGATGATGTGGTCAAAGAGCTGTGGATTGTGGCCACAGTCAGTATGGTGGGGGTTGGGATAATGCTGCAGGGGGCTCTCCCAGCCCCATCGCAGCCCTATAGACAAACAGCAAGGAGGGAGGCAATGTGGACCCCCTCACACCATCCCTTAACCATAGGTCATCAGCCTCACCGCCTCGCCGGTGCCCTGCATGATGGCAGTTGGGATGACATAGATCTCACTGGCCATGCGGATGCCCTCCTCTGTCACGTGCACCACCAGCACGCGGAAATTGGTCCCTCCCAGGTCCAGTGCCAGGAATTCACCTAGCTCTGTAGAGAGCCAGCACAGGGCATCAGCAGAGCCATGGCCTCCTTGGCACCCACTTCCCAATGCCCCTGTCCCTCACCGGTGCCATCAGGCGTGTGACAAACGTAGGTGGGCAGCATGCGAACAGAGGCATTGGCATGGGTCTCCTGACCCAGCCCTAGCTCCATCTCCTGCCTCATCAGTGCCTGGACCTCCACTAGGTCATCATGCTTGAGCCGCAGCGGGCCCAGCACCTTGGCCACCTCCCGGCGCTGGGCCTCCAGGCGCACAGCCACTGCTGTCACCATGGCTGCCCCCCGCCCAGACCCATCTGTTGAGGGCAAGAGAGTGGGCACACACTCAGGGGCCAGCAGCCTTGTCACACTCTGCAGGATCTCCTTGAACCTGCCAGAGGAAGAAGAAGATAGCAAGGGTATGAGGCATCCTGCTGGGATGCCTAAAATCTGCTCCTCACCCTGTCCCACAAACAGTCACTCACTCATGGGGGAGGCTCCTGAGAGCCTGAGACTCTCACAGGGACCAAGGGAACTAGCTCCTGGCCACTATCCCTGCACTGGGGTCATGACCTTCCTCACCTGCTGTGGCCTTGGTACAATTCTCCATCCACCCCCACGTTGACAAGCAGTTGATCCATGTCCCGGGTCTCACACATGTAGCTGAGGACGGCAGCCAGGCCAGTGGCTTCGAGCGTGGCAGCGCGGCTCACCACCGCCCGGCAGATCTGCTGCACCCGGCTGCAATCTTGCTCATTTGGCTGCAGCCCCAGAGCCTCCAGAGTCGTCTTCGTCACAGCCATGCCTTCCTCAATGCTGCAAGGCAGAGCACAGCCTTGCAACACTTGCGGGTCCAACAGCTCGCAAATAGGGGCACCCATCCATCATCCCCCCATTCTCCCACCCATGGTAGCTCCTGGTCCCCAGACACTCACTTGATGATCTCCAGAACCTGATGGGTCGTGAGCGCACCCTTCTCCTTCAGGACAGCAACACTGCTCCCAGTGAAGAGTGCTTTTTCAGCGGCCAGGGCAATCAGCACGTGCCGGGTGATCTCCCCCAGATACAGGCTGCCCACCATCTTCTCAAATCTGCATGCAGCCCACATGGGAGTCAGTTGTGCCTCCCTAGCACCCCTTGGCCCTTTGAGAGCACCCAGGAGCATTGCAGGGCTCCTGTTGTGCTCCTGTTGGTAGGGCCTGACATGCTCAGGGATGGATGGGGAACCCCAAGGACCCTGTCCTTGCTGAGGGGTGGGAGCACCTCTTCTCCCCAGGACTGAAGGATTCTTCATCCACGCACTCATCATAGGGGGTCAGGATGTCATTCAGAATACCATCGTCCCCAAAGCGGCCCCACTCAGTGTTGATACACATTCGCCCACTGGTCTCCTCTGCTGTTTCTACCAGATGTGCCTCGGCCATGAAGCAGCAGTTGCTGCCCTTGTCTGCAGGGAGCAATGGGGGTGAGCACCAGCTCAGCTCCCCCAGCACCCTCCACCCTGGCACGTGGGGTGCCCGCTGCTCACCTGCAACCAAGGCAACCTCACAGGGGCTTCCCTCTGTGCTGCAGGTCATCATGGTGCCCACTGTGTCATTCATCAGGGCAACAACTTCCACATGGGAGAGCTGACCAGGAGCAAAGTGAGAGCATTATCAGCCCCTCCACGGGGGCAACCCCTGACCAGGTCCCCCCCACCCCACGGTCCCCCACCTCCTGCTTGTTGATGGCTGACTGTAGCAACTGCACAACATCCTTCCCCACCACGTCCCTGCAGCTGAAGCCCTTGGACCAGGAGATGAGTTCTGCCTGTGGAGAACATGTGGCACAGCCATTGGCCTCCAGGACTGGGGTGGCTTCTCTCCCCACTGCTGCTGTGCTGGGGAGGATGTGGTCACAGCCCAGGACAGGGCCCCTCACCTTGTTCAGCTGTGTCTGCCGACAGCTGAAGGGGAAGACGAAGCCCAGGGGAAGGTGTTCCAGGGGTGTGTTGGTGTCAGCCAGGAACTGGGACAGGCATTGTGCAATGAAATCAAAGAGCTGCAAAGGTATGACTAGGGGTAAGGGCTGCTTCCCTTATCCAGTACCCAGGATGCAGGAGGCAGTCCAGAGCTCCAGCACCAGTCTAGAGCCCTGCCAAGCCTCCATGCTGCTGGGCAGCCCAGCACCAGCCACCCTGTGCCATGGCCTCCTCATACCGCTTCCCCCTCGCCCTGCCTGATGTCCTCTGGCATGTCAAAGGTCTTGTACATCATTTGTGGGCTTGAGTTTCCATCTCCAAAGAGGGTCACCAGCAGGGTCCGGACCTGGCTCTGGCACAGCTCCACCACCAGAAAGTCACCCTTCTCTATGGGGGAACAGAGGCTGTGTCAGGCCAGAGACATTTCCTATGGCAGATCCCTCAAAATCTGCTCCTCAGCCTATCCCAAGGAGAGTCACTCATCCATGGAGGAGGCTCCTGAGAGCCTGAGACCCTCACGGGGGCCAAAGGAACTAGCTCCTGGCCACTCCCCCTGCACTGGAGACTGGCAGAGGGGTAGCTTATGGACTCCATAACTGACTGGAGAGCTGTGTACCCCTCCCCAGCACCCTCAGAGCCAAGTCCAATGAGGTGGGGCTGCAGGTAGCAGAGCAACCCATCCTCAGACCAGGCTGTCTTACCGGTGCCATCAGGAGTGGCGCAGATGTAGGTGGGCAGCATCTTCAAGGTGGCCCGTGAATGTGTATGGCGGCCCAGCCCCCTGCGCATGGCCTGCATCATGTGGCCCTTCATAATGTGCAGCCTCTCCAGCGGGATGGTGAGCGCCCGCAAGGCTCGTTGTACCTGGTGATGGTGCATTAGGCCAGGGGCACAGGGACAAAGGGCAGGGGATGCCTGGGGCAGGGACAGACCTTACCGGTGTGCTGGCGGAAGAATCCTGTTCTTGGTTCATCAGACGGCTCATTGTGAACCTGCATGGAGGGAGGTGGCAATGTCACCTGCTGAGCACTGGCCCCAGGACAGGACTCACGCCTGCCCTGCCCCTGGCACATGATGGTGTTGGGGGCCTGCCTCCCACCTATCCTCTGTTTCCATGCTCCATCGGGAATCGTTCCTTTGCAGCGTCCGCCCACTGTCCCTGCGATGGTGCAGGTGGCAGCTGTGCCCCACCACGGCCATGGGCGAAGCCGGCGGGACAGGCTGACGAGGGGGTCTCCGAGACCTGCAAGAGGCCGGAGCTGCTGTCCCTCCCCTGCAACGGCCCGGGGGGCTGGGGGAGCCCGCGCGGCTCCATCCCCGGCCCCATCGCGGCCTCCGCAGGGCAGGAGCCGCTCACCGGTCAGAGTACGAGCTGCCCGCCGCTTCCGAGCCCGAGCTTCGCCGGAGGCGGCCGGCGGAGCCGGGGGTCTGCTGTGCGCCGTCCGGCCCGCTGTACCGGCCAGACTGGGGACGGGTGCTGCGGCTGCCCATGGCGGCGGGGCCGGGGATGGTGTGGGGCCGGGGCCGATGTTAAGCCCGTGGGGGCCGGGGCGGGGCCGGGGCCGGTGTTAAGCC